AACGCATTGCTCACTTATATCTGCACTGTTTTACAACGTATGGCAGGAGGAATCTCGATCATTCTTTGATCTTTTATATTCTTTACTCTTATGTTTACTTATATAATGTCGTATTTGAAGACTTTTTAAACCCCGTAATGCTTTATAGCTCAGACTTGGAAAGCTTGGTGATCACTGCTCTGAGGCTTGGGAAAGAGAGAGAGAGAGAGAGAGAAAGAGAGGGAAAAAACATGGCACACTTCAAAGTAAAGCGTGCCACTGCTACTAATAGGCAATATCTCTTTATTTTGACACGATTGTACGGCACCATATATGTGCTGAATAAATAACCCTTCTACTCATCAGCGTCGAACGTGTTTTGGCAGCTTTACTCGTTCAACTGTTCTTTAATGGGTCTCATGTGACTGCTTAACAAAATGTATGAAAAGAAATGTGTCTTTGTGGGCTTTTGTGAACAGTTCACAATTGTTGCTGATTCAAAACGACTTTAATTAAATTCTTATTTTTAATCAATTCCCCTTTGTCGGAAGGCTGAGAGCTTCAATGGCTTTGAATGCTGTTGCCTTGCCAATTTAGAGAACCCCTGTCGAGCAATTTAGGTATAACTCTTCTATGGAAAAAGATTTGATTCATGTAAAAAGGGTAGCATTTTTATAAAGTAGGTAATTTTTCCACAAAGCTCTTTTTCCTCCCCTGTTACTGGAGGTGAGTGTGCGCCTCGGCTCCAGCTGTACCTCGGCTGACGGATGGCTGTCATCCACGAGCCCCGCACTCAGAGGAGAAGGGACATGTGCTCCAAGAAACGCTCTTATGAATATATACCGATCTCTCCAGGGCAGCGAGCACTCAGAGCTGGCTGACCCAAACACATGGGTTACGAGCTGGAGAGAGAAAACAGCGTTCAGGCTCGTGATCTTTGGATATTTCGACACAGCGGGAAGCTCAATTGTATGAGGGGTCACAAGCTGGTTAAGTAGTATTGGTAGTCCCAAGCTTGGATAGTCTTAATGTGTCATTGTCACTCAAAGTAGATTGTTAAGTCATAAATCGGTCACTTTAGCCTGTATTGGATTAATGCACAGAAACAACATAATTAGTGCAGGTGAAACTTGGAAAATTAGAACATTGGTCGAAATCCATCTCATTAAACGCAAAGTAAGATACATTAAGCCTTCACTACTTATAATGATGTTATTATGATATAAATACTATATATAACAGAATTGGTAATTATGCCTAGAATATTATGAAATTGGTCAGTAGCCATAATCCTCAACATTGCAACAAAGACTTGGCAGGATGTCACTTTTCATGTAATAAGTCTTTATAATTGTGTATATATATATTGTCCTCTACATTTGACCCTCCCCACAGAGCAACTCGAGCCTCTGTCTGGAGCAGTGATCGCCACAGTGCAGCGTCCTGGGACTCTCACACAGGCTCTGTCTGTAGGTGGAATCCATCCCAGGATCTTCTTGCTGAGAACCGAGAGTGCAAACCACTCAGGGCTGTAGCGGGCCAAGAATTTCATTGGTCGACTAAAGACAGGTCCACTTGACTGATTAGTCTGCTAAAAGGGGCGTGGCAACAGCTCTCAAAAGTACGTCCCATTCATCTTCAGGCATAGCACATTCTAATTTGCTTCTGATTTTTGGTATTATCCCCCAATTAAATCCTTGTAAAACAGATTTTTTTGTACAAAAAATTGTAATCATAACACAAATCAATATAGTTTGATGTACTAGGATATAGTGTAAAATGTACATAACATGTTATTGTAATTTTATTTAGCATCCACAAATGCATATCTTCATACTTGTTTTACTTTTCAATTCTTCGTCATAACCGTCATGAGAGAAAAAAAACAGCTGCAGGGTTAGATCTCTGGGGATCGGCCCTAGCTACCTGCATGGAATACCCTTTAAGAATATATAAATGTTTAAGCCCCTAACCTTACAGTGACCACTCAGTGAAAGCAACCATTTGGCTCCAGAGGACTTATTTAGCACACCCAGGTGGCCTTTTACACCATAAACAAAGATGCTGCTGAATTACATTAAGGAAGCAAATGGAAGCCACCTCTGCAAGACATTTTAATGAATAATACCATGTGATGTTAAACTCAAATGCCATAGTGATTTGTCGCGCAGTAATAGTGAATGTTGTTTATATTTGACGTGGGGAGAAAACATATTCATCAGCGTCGTGTAATGAAGCTATGATTGAATTTGGCTAATTTGACTGATGGCAGTGCTCTCCATAAATTATTTCAAGTCTTTGTCTCCCTCCACAGTGGCTGCTCTAAACTGTGCTCTTATCTGGCTGCGCATGTTTACTCACATGGGGCGCTCATGAAATATTTGAAGCTCAATTGTTTACATTTTCCGCAAATGAGCCTCTTCGTTATTAGCTGCTGTCAACTCCAACGAGATGCAAGTGCTCCACAGAGGCATGTGCCATAGAGTATAGCGTCACGTACGAGTCACTGAAAAGCCTCCGAGGGTTGCATTGAAAGGGGATCAAATATAGGAACATAACGCTGGACGGTATTGTTAAATGAGGAGGATTCCACATGGAGATTGCAGAGACTGACATAGACATCTCGCAAGTTGCAAGTCTTTGACCATAAAAAATAACATTACATCTAATAAACAAAATATAAAAACCAAGCATGCAATTCTGATGAACCGAAAAGGTGTAAGCGGTTGCCCACCTTATAAATGGTGTCTATAATTTGTACACTAGCATGCCTGCTGTCAGTACATAGGTCTGTTTTGATCTAAGGATTGCGTTCATGGAGAATTATATTTCAGTTGGAGGGCAGCTGCCTGTGCAACTCTATTGAAATACTTGAAAAAACAGATAGTTCATAAAGATGGTATTATTTGAGAGTGAATAGATTCACAAAGCTGTCTTATTATTCTTATGCTTGCAAGGCCGTTCTATTGGCCAACATATTGAATTTTTTTTTATTCAGGCATGCACAGATACCACTTTTTTCAAAAGCGATACGAGAACGAATACCCTAATTTGAGTACTTGCCGATACCGAATGCCGATACGTGTACTGCATTGAGTTATCCCTGGAAATTCTAAAAACAACTGAAATTTAAAATGTTTTATTTCTCATTTCAACAATAAAAGAAAATGCTTTGACAATTAAACATTTTAGCTTTTATAACAGTCAACAATAAGAGCCACTGTAATATTCCAATCATACACATATAAATAGCTCCAGTCCTAGCAAAAGTTACCTTGCATGATGGTGAGTTTTAACAAGTTGCTGGTGTGTTTTTTGTGTTTGTTTTGGACCTCATGACAGTTTTCCCTTACTCAACGAACAGTCCGCTTTACTCTTGTCACTCTCATTTGCATTAAATGAGGCTGCAAGCTTGCTTGTCGCTAGCCTGCTTGCTGCTAGCTTGCGTGCCGCTATCCATCGTGGTGCTAGTTTTTGTGCTACTAGCTTTCGTACCGCTAGCTTGCGTGCCGCTGGCAGCACGTGACCCCCAGCTGTCTGCTGTCAGGACGCTAATGTAAATAAAAAATGTGGGTATCGGTTCTCGGCATCGGGTCCTATGGTATGAGTACGAGTGCAAGCCTATGGTATCGACCAAACACCCGATACAAGTATTAGTGTTTTTGCATCCTTAGTTTTATCAAGACGTTTTCGAGACTAGAAGTCTTATTTTTGACAGTTTCCATGGTTACCAGGAAAGATTGTTCAGGTGCCCTCCACCACAATTTTACACTAAAGTTCTTGGAATGTTGTAATGGCACATAAACACAGACTTTTTTCTCAAAACCCCAACTCCTAAACTTGCAAAAAAAAAAAAAAAATTCAAACAAAAATCCCACACAAACTGAAAATCCAGCCATAATGTAACACGATTGTCAAATTGTATAACTTTTTGCTAGCACAGCCCCCAACGCAAGATTGCTGTGTGGGTTGATGAAATAAAGAACAATTATGTTTTAGAGCTTGAGAAGAATCTATATGCTAACCATGCTCTGCACACTAGGAGGAAAATAATGTGCTGCAGCGACCCTGAATGAAGCAAGCCAAGAATTAAATACAATTTATGAATACACATTAAAATCACCACCCACTCTGATTAGACTACAGAAGATTTAGCGCTATTAGATATTATTTGTTGTTGTACATATTTTGGATGCTCATTGCTGCATGTAATTCTAATTTTGAGATTGTAACCTTCTCATGCCTGGATATGTAAAGGTTAATTGTGAGAGATGCAGATGTTAATTTGTTCTCTAGACACAGACTCATATGTCTCACGAGTGGTTTGAATGAATAGGTCACACTATTTGGCTTTGAACATCTCTTTATTGACTAAATGTACCTATAGTCCAACCCTTTTTCAAAACATGTACAGTATATGTGTACAAATGTATGTTGTTATGTTCGATGGATTTGTGTTCTGAAACCTTGTTCTGGTTTATTGGTATGGATCCCCATTAGTTACAAAGTGACAACTTGTCTTCCTAAAATACAATAAGACATGCAACAAATATTTTAAAACTGTTATGAATAGTTAACACAGATAATGACATTGACAACAATATACAACCAAAATAGAAATAATAACAATTATAAAACAACGAATGCAAATATACAGGAATCAGTCGGTTCGGTCTTAAGACAGGCTTTGAAACCCATGACATTACTTTCTTTTAATGTTGAGGGTAATTTTTGGTAATGGTATTGTTGTTAGTGTTTCTTCACCCAACTCCTTGTCAAATCTCATACGTAGTGTATATTTGCGTCTGTGTTTATGTTGTTGTAATGAATGCAGCTTTGAAATAAATTATCTATCTTTCCATCTATCTATATAACAAGCTATCTATCATCTATTTGTCCATTTATCATCAATCTATGTATCTCTATCTATCTTTCTGTCTGATTGAATATACTCATATATGTTTGTTTTCTGTGTCATAGAAGTGCTGCCGTAAAAGTGAAGCTTGTCCCTCATTTCGAGTATGGACTTGGCGGGACAGGCCCATGTGCTGGTGGCTCTTCTTGCCTGCACCTTTCTACTATGTGGGGCCCAAGAAAAGGACTACACCATCAAGGAAGAGCAGCCCGAAAATGTGCGCATTGGGAACCTCCGCAAAGACCTGGACCTCAACTTGGACCCCAACATCCGGCTGTCCTCGCCGCTGCAGTTCAAGCCTGTGTATAAGACGGGCGATGTGCCTTTGGTGAGAGTGGAGGCCAACACCGGAGAGATATTCACCACAAATCACCGGATCGACCGGGAGAAACTGTGCTCAGGGGTGTTCGCCGAGAAACGCTGCTACTACGAGATTGAGGTGGCCGTGCTGCCTGATGAGATCTTCCGGCTAGTGAAGATCCGCTTCCTGATCGAGGACGTGAACGACAACGCGCCGCTGTTCCAGTCGACCGTTATTAACATCTCCATCCCCGAAAACACAGCCATCAACTCCAGATACCCCGTCCCCTCCGCCTTCGATCCGGACGTGGGGCTCAATGGCATCCAGCATTATGAACTGGTCAAGGTGAGTGGCCTTTAAGTGTCTGTGGTACAGTGATGATGCAATGTTGATATTTGATGCTCAATTCCACTGTTAGATCAAATGATGATTTTAAAGGTGCACTACCTATGATTTTGGGTGAAAGAGAACACAGGAGGAAAGTATGTTCCACACTCATGCCTAAATCTACCGTAAGTCACTGCCCAGACTGAAGAGTCTGCCACAGAAACTGGGAGAGAAAACCCCCCTTAAATATATTAGACTTCTTCAATCTTCTAAAATGCTACATAAGGTCCCATATGGGTAATTATGGGTCTTTCATTGCTCAAAACGTAATTAAAAAGCCTTCTCAACAGTCGTGCACCTTCTCTAAAGATGTAACCTTGACCTACTGCTAATCACTCTACCGTAATATTTATGATGTTTAATAATTCCACAGTAGGGGCGACAGTAGCTCAGTTGGTAGAGCATTGGCCTTTGGGCCTGAAGGTCGTGGGTTCAAGCCCACCATAAGACCTACTTCACGACTCCCACTGATGACTGCTGTCGTTGTGTCCTTGGGCAAGACACTTAACCCCACTTTGCCTGAAGCTCCCACTGAAAGATCTCAGCTCCTGTGGACTCACCACCTGCAGGAGGATCAGTGAGGGGCTGGTGCTTTGTGTACTGGGTGTAGCTCGGACTGCCACCCCCCCGACCCAGAAATGGATTAAGGGGAAGAAAATGGATGGATGGATGGATAATAATTCCACTTCAGACGATTGATGTTGGCTCTTGACAAAATATATTTTGTTTACAACAATCTCCCTATTGATCAGAGTGAGACATCATTGCTTTCAGCTATAGTTGTAAAACTGCACCAGTATTCTTAATTAGAGAAAATGTCATTTAGTTTATTGATTTACATCTAAATGTTCAATCATAAGCCTCGGTTTGATATGGTTTTGTTTGAAAGTGTCTCACAAGCAGTCATTTTACCTACTCCAGAATGGGCTGTAGTGTAAATGATGATTATTACTTTTAATTATGCTTATGGGAGTCCATTCATTAAAACTCTTGTAAGGACAGAGTCATTTTGTTGACACAAAGCCCAATTATTGATTTGGCCCTTATATAAAATTCCATTTGGCTCAGCTCAGAATCAGACAAGCAAATGTTGGCGGGTGTACATCCCTGCCTGCGCCCAAACGATTCTAAATGAAGCCTGTCTTATGTGATATATGCGCCACTGTTGGTTGGATGCTGAATCATCAGCTGTACAAGCGAGTTAACAAAGAGCTGCTCTGATGTACCTGATATTTATGATCAAATACTCACTTGATTGAAGATGTGAAAAAGACTACTGCTACAAAAGCCATTCTGTATAAATTAATTAGGTTCAACTGGGAATACATTCAAGGTAATAAATGAAATGAGGGAATTACTTAAATAAATTTGCCCTGGGCCAGAAAATGCTAATTTAGTGGTTTTGAGTTAACCACAGGGGGTCAGGAGGAGCTAACTTTGGTTTCTCTCCAAATTCTGCAGACAGATCAAATACAACACTGATTGTATAACCATTTTTCACATTCACACATTCATTGCCTTTCAAGTCTGAAAGGAAATATTGTTATGATCGGGGAGATGACGGGTTTTCAACCTTTTTTTCGCACAGAGAGCTACTTTTGCAGGTGAAAAAATAGCTACTCCTTTAAAGGTCATGTCAGTAACTTTCATTTCATATTGTACTATTATGAACAGTAAGCATCTTCAACTATGATGTATTTAAACAGTCCCTCCCCTTGGCATAATTATGACCAGTATGATTTGCAGGAGGAGAACAGCTAAACCAATGTCGAGGGGTCTACATGATATAAATTATTTTTGACCAATCAGGATGCAATGGGGGTGAGCCAAGTTAAACCCTCACAATATGAAAAGTGACTAACAAATTGTGGTTGACAAAAATGGCTCAATACTGAAAAATTGTGACATGCCTTGAATTAGTCATCCATCTAACTGTAATCAATCCATACATTAGTTAAATATTTAACAGTGATAGTTTTCGGCTTGGAAACACATAACATTTTACATATAAAGGAGATCATTTTCAAATATCTGAGTCCTTTGGAGCTACTTATAAGAGGGTGGTGAGCTTCTGTGGTGAGCTACTGGTATAGCTCCTGAGTTATGGGTTGGAGAACACTAAGGTAGATCAAATAGTAATGGGAGTTATACAAGAATCATGAAAAAATAGCATTAATTTGGATGCAGCTCACGTTCAGAATGCAAGAAAGCTAATTGGTGCGATAACCAAAAACACAAATAGCTTTGTTTTCATCGGCTTTACCATTCCCTTATCTGCAGGATATTGTCAATTTGATAAATTGAAATAGTAGATTTAATGTGGTTTTTTTATTAAATTGCTCGATCTGTGCCGGCCAGTCATCTCGCTTTTATCTGCCTGCAGCCACCAGTTATATTTTTTTTCCACACATGGTCAATTAATATTTCCTATTTTGCCTGTTTCCTTCCCATATATAGACGTAGCTTTCACAATATGATTCAGATGTTATCTCCTTGTAAACATACACGCAGCGCTGCGGGGCGGTAGAAGTGATCCGTAAGGTTAATTCGTTTTGATGCAGCTGAAATATATTACCTGGGGTATTATGAGCTCTGATGCTTACAAATCTTCTACACAGAAACATCTAATTTTATTTTTTTTCTACACGCCTCCGTTAACGACCAACTTTGCGGTAACCAATTTGAAAAAGTGTGCTGCGAAAAGTGCCGACGCAGCACGATCCGCATCTGCAATAAGTTTCAACAGGTCCAGTGCTGGCTACATATCTGATTAAAGCCAGTGCGGAGAATGTAATGTTTTATGCTAATCGGTGTCTCATGCCGAACCACAGAAAGCTTTTCTTCACGCTGTAATTGGTGCTCGATTTAAGCGGTGGGAGCAATATTCTCTCTTGCTTAATGGAGTCAGGCCGGAATGCACAGAAAGTAGGATAATGTGCATTCTACATTAATAGTCCCGACAACACTCGATATCACGTGGATGGATGACTGCTATGAGCCGTATTTTGTGCTTTTTGTAATGAGGGGAAATGAGGGAGGCGCAGAGCTATAGCGGAGGTAATAGAAAGAGCTCAAGATGATAACTCAAAAAGGTTTAGATCAACAGCGTATGTCTTATTCTTTCTGAGGCCGAGTACATTGTGTTTTTCCTTGCATACGGCCGTTTATATACACGCAGTAACACACTTATAAAAATGAATAGACTACATGCACAATCTTTCTACATCCATTATTAGACACCATGAGCCTCATACAAATTATAGCAATCATTGTAGCTCATCACAAAATGACTTAAAGTTCATTGAATTAGGTTAAATGATATTTCAACAAGGCAGTAGATTTCAAATACGTGTTTTTGCATCAGGGCAATTAAAGCTAGGGTAACTACATTTTATTTTTCATGAATAATACTGTTTTTTTGTCCCAAAAGAAAGTTACATGCGAGAGACCACAACATGTTATCTCAATCAATCGAGGTCCTCTGTTTTAACTTTTCGGTTTGAAAAGCTTAGCCATACACACATGCGTGTGGAAACTAGTGATAAAAAACTGTTTTGAGAGTGAGGAACTAGTTACATGGATTTTTTTACACAGGCCCATTTTAGCACCCCAGCTTTACATAAAATAATTACCATTGCATATAATTTGAACAAAATTAAGCGTTGTATAGGGAGCAGCATAGTATCTACTGCAATGTGTGTACATAGAATTCACCATAACACAGCGTTTGATTCAGACTGCAGTCACCCGCTGCCTCTTAATAACACTCAAATGGCACGTCTGTGTTTTCTGGCTGAACTTAACATTTCTGAGTGAGCACAAATTGCTGCTCTGTGTGTCTGTCAGGAATACAAATGTGCATCTTTAAAGCGTCTCCCCACTGCCAGGGTCTCTCCAGTGCAATGTCCTGAATTGTTCATGCCTGGAAAATCACCAACCAAATGTTCGGCTCATTATTATGATCATGGGCAATTATTCTCTTTGCCCTTTTCTCCACAGAAAACCCCCATGCAAGGATGCGTTTGTAATATCTGTGCTGCATATAGTCCTAAGGATACCTGTCTGACTTTGAACTTCTCATTATGGTTTTATTATCCTCTTGATAAGATCGTATGAGTTGTTTCCGGATTTATGGGACTGAAAAGAGCCAAAGACGTTTCAATGTTAGAGAGCTTTGATTTCAGAGGCGCAGTGGAAAGGCAAAGGTTTTTTGTGGAACGGAAGACTTTCCTGGAATAGCTCTTGGCCGCCCAGACACCTTTGGACTAGCATTGCGTGTTTCTGCGAGATTTGCGATAGGAGAGAAATCATTTATTGCAGAGTTTTTTGTTGCAAAGAGTATGATGTCAACTTTGGCAATTGATGATCCCTTTTTGTAAAGACCAATAATACTGCAACAGTCTTACCTTCGCACAAACCTGACTCATTCTTCAGTTCATTTGAATGAATTTATTTGTGTATAGCCCTACTACTTACTTTATGGACCATCAAAGTACTGCACATTTTATATGAGGTTGGTTATGTGGTTCTTCTGTACCAGACGATCGTAAGATAGCAATGTTTTTACCACGTCAATGTCTTACAATTGTCTGGAATAGAAGAACCAATATCTTAATCTACTAAGAAGACAAGATGAACCTTAACAATAATACATTTCAAAAAACAGTGTTTACAAAGTGCTGCACAGTCAGCATAAAGCAATAAAAACATAGAAGTCATATCAATATAACATAGCAAAATGATAAAAAACAATATATTAAAGCAGACAGGCAACGACAGACAAAACAAAGACAAAGTGGAAAAGTGAAATGCATGTAGACTTTAAAAACAGACAGTTATTGGAAGGCCATTCGATAGTGCTAGCCTTATTTATAAATTATTATGGACTGTTTATCTATATTTTAGTGCAATAAATGAAACATGGATGGATGTCCTCACGGTGGTGAGCTCTGGTATTT